CTGGGGGGTGGTGGTGGCAGGGCCAGGACTAGCCCCCACGGCGGTGGAGAGGGAGTGCTACCCAGCCCCTCCCTGCCCCCAGCTCTGCTCCGGTCCCTTCCCCAGCTCCTGGCCCTGGGCCTGGCCCCATCCCCAGCTTCAGTGAGACTTGGCTAGTGGCCGCGGCTTCGCTCCTGGCCTGGGGCCGAGGCTGGGAGCAGAGCCACACCTGGCTGCGGGCCTGGCTGCCAGCCCCCACCGCTGCCCAGCTGAGGCTCTACTCCCATCCCAGCCTCGGCCCCTGGCCACAGCCCGAGACCCACACCCATCTGCAGCCCCAGCCTCTACCCCCTTACTCTTGTCCTTGTTTCCACCCCCTCCTTGCAGTAGCGGCCCCACTCCTGGCTCTGGGGAGGGTGTGGGGGGGTGCAGACGGGGATAAGGTGGGGTGTCACCCTCAAAAGTTTGGACCACCCTGTCTTAGGTAGTTCCTTTGAAGCTTCATTTTTGAAAATTAATGTTCTTCTTCGAGTGATGTCCCTGTGGGTGCTCCACTTCAGGTGTCAGTGCATCCCAGCACCGTTGATTGGAGATTTTCAATGGCAGGGTCCATCTGGGTCTTGCATGCACAGTCGTTGTCTTGCGGTGCTATTGGCACCTCATCTAGTACATTTGCACCCCGAGACCCTCAGTTCCTTCGCAACCATCCTCAGCCTGAGGTGGAGCTCTGTAGTGGTGTCCGTGACAAACCTAGAAAATTGTTAGAAATAGTTAGAATTAGTTAAGTTTAAGTTCATAGCTAGTTTAGTCAGGTTCATATTTAGGAAAAAAAGACCCAACCCCACCATTTTGTTAATTCGTTAAAGTTTGCCTCAGACCAGTAGGGTCCAGAGAGGAGACATCAGAATTCCCATACAAACATGCGTGGATCAGCAGGTTTTAAAAGACATAGGCAGCATGTCTACAGGAACTGTCTTGGATGGACATTCACTCTGTGTCCGTGCACTCACTGCAGCAACTTGAAAGCCAGAACTAAGTGAGATAAAGACCATTTAAAACTAATATTAATGGAGAAATCCTTCCAACCCGACTCTGATCCCAGACAACAGAACCCCTCAACAGGGGACTCTCTGAGAACCTCATCAGACACAATGAAAGCTTGCTTCTCAAAGAGAACAAGGAAACAAGCTATGTCCTTGCCACAGAGAGAACCGCTGAAAAAGAAAGTCTCCTGCAAGGTCGCTATCCTCTGTGTCGACCACACCAAGGTTAACCACCTTCGAGACACCAGGCACCTCCGGCACCGCCCACACGGGGCCTTTGCTGGCAAAGACAGGGAGTCGAGAGGCAAACATAAGCCAACCTCCTCCTCTTCAGTACCGACGACGCCAGTTAGAGACGGCACCGAAACCATCACCAATGGCGATGCCTCCACTGCCCATGCCAACAACCTCATCAGCACTGACGGAGAAATCAAAGATGGCGCCATCAGCACCAGGTCAAGCCACTGCACAAACAGTCAGCACCAACCCTGGTACCATCAAAAACATTGGCATCAATGGCACAGTACTGAAACCCACAGCACCATGCCAATTGACACATCATGCCAATATGATGATGTCCTCCGCTCCAGGCTCATTGCTCCTCGGTACTGCTGGTTCACCAATACAGATGGCACCGGAACAGCTGGATTCTCCCATTGCCCCACCATTCTCCAGTGATGAGGATGATGACAAAGAGAAGGGTGACTTTTCCTCACACCATTCCTCTCCGAGCGGAACCAAACCACTGTTGGGACCCATGAGATTGAGGGACCAAATTGCTCGAGACATGCAGCACTGGTATGAGCAACCATGGATGTGCCCACCCATGCCTTTCCCCATGCAATGGCCACAATGGGAGGCCTACAGTGCACATTATCACAGACCTCCCACTCCTCAGATAAGACACACATGATCAACAACAGCCTCCCCACCTGAGACCTCAGAAGTGGCAGAGGATGTGAGGGAGGATAGCGACAAGGACATTTCACCTGCTCATAACTCCTTATCATAGCCTGACAAGGCATAATGCCTCCGCCTCCTGCTGCTGCTGATTTTAAGTAGTTCCAGGAGCTGTTCAGACATGTGGTGCAAAGCCAGGACACTCCACTTGAGGAAGTGGCTGAAACCCGGCACAAACTCCTTGAAATTCTTCACAATTCTTCATTTGAAAATAGCACTACCTATCAAGAAAGCACTGATGAAACAGGCAGAAACAGTCTGGCAAACGCTGGCAACCATTTCACTGACATGCATGTGAGCAGACAGGAAATACTGTGTCCCCATGAAGGGGATGGACTTCCTTTTCTCTCATCCACAGCCCAATTCCCTAGTAATGGATGCAGCTAACCAAAGAGGGAAACAGCCCCAATTCTGATCCACTCCCCATGACAGGGAGTGCAAGAGACTCGATCTATTCAGCCATAAGGTCTGTTCTTCTGTGACCTTACAATTATGCGCAGCTAACTACACTGCACTCCTTGCCAAATATGGCCATGACAACAATGCCAAATTGAAGGAATTGCTTACGGATATCGCACTGGAGAGAAGGGAACAATCCAAGGCCATCCTTACTGAGGGACAACTTGTGACCAGGACAGTGCGGCAAGCATCCCTTGGTGTTGGACAGATGGCGGCAGGAAGAGTAGACACGGCCATAGTCCTGTGCAGAGCGTCCTGGCTACAATCGTCAGGAATCCCAAGGGAACTTCAATTGAAAGTAGAAGATCTCTGCTTTGACAGAGAAACTGTTTTCTGCCAAAACAGAGTTTTTTCCTCTCTGTGAAGGACTCTAGGGCAACCCTCTTGCTTTGTTGTTTGTGTATATATGCCTAAAGTGGAGAGAAGATACCAACCATACCAACATGGCAGAGACTGTTCATTCTCATGACAACAAATACCATATGACTCCCAGAGACAGAAACAATGACCCCAGAGACATTGAACACCACAGTCACAATCCTCCACATCTCAGCCAACATCAGCCCAGCTGCAATTCTGAAAAATTGGCCATCTACACATACCACTCGGGTCTTTGGCCATTGTCTACACCCTCTTTATCATGTCTGGACATCAATCATTATGGACCAATGAGTTTTAGAGATCATAAGATTGGGCTACATTATCCCTTTTACCGTCCGCCCACCAATCCTATCCTCCTCCCCATCCCTCTTCAGGTACCCTTTTCATGAGCACCTGCTATGACAAGAAGTTTTTCATCCTCTATAGTTAGATGTCATGGAATTAGTTCCCACACAACACAAAGGGAGGAGATTCTACTCCCATTACTTCTTAACCCAGAAGAAAAATGGAGGATGATACCCATTCTAGATCTCAGAAAGCTCAACAAGTTCATGTGAGCCCAATGATTCAAGATGATCACAGTGGCCACAATAATACGAGTGCTGGAAAGGGGGGACTGGTTCTCAGCCCGCAACCGACAAGATGCCTATTTCCACATCACCATACATCCCACTCACAGAAGGTTTCTCTAGTTCACAGTAGGAAGTGACCACTACCAATAGAATTCTACCATTCGGCCTTTCCACTGCACCAAGAGTCTTTTCCAAAACCCTTGCAGTAGTGGCAGCACATTTGCGCAAACAGGGAATAATAATATTTCCTTATCGGGAATATTTTCCCACCTGGTTGTCCTTTGGGTGGTGTTCTTTCCAATCCATCTGTTTTGGAATTTAGGGTTAAATGAACAAAAATTAACCCTAATTCAGGTACAACTAGTGGACTTTATTGGGGCGCACCTCGACTCCATGGGTGCAAAGCATCACTATTGATGAACAAATTCATGACACTGACCAACCTTATCATGGTAGTCATGAATAGCCCACAAATATTTGCCTGAGCCTGCCTACAGCTATCAGGTCACATTGTGGCCACTACTTTTGTGGTAAGGCATGAGCGACTACATGTGTGCTTCTTACAAGTTTGGCTGAGTTCAGTATGCATACCGAACAAGCACAGCCTGACTAGAAGCCTATCAATGCCACCAAAAATCCTGGAATCTTTACAGTGGTGGACACAACCAGAGAATGTATGCACAGGAGTCCCCTTTCACTAGGACCCACCATTCATACTGATCACAACAGATGCCTCATTGATTCACTGACGCCCCCATGGCCTTCTATGGAGACTCAATTACACATCAATCTACTAGAACTACATGTGACCCACAACACACGTCTTCACTTCCTCCCACTAACAAAGAATGAAACAGTATTCATGAACCAAAACATCGCCTGCATGTTCTGTATAAATCAACAGGGAGGAGACTGCTCCCACTCCTTATGCACTGAGGCCATGAAATTGTGGAACTGGTGCATAAACCACAACATAAACCTCTAAGCCTCCTACCTCCCCGATTTCCTGAAAACGATGGCAGACACACTGAACAGGCAATTTTCCCAGGATCATGAATGGGAACTGAACAACAGAGCCTTACAATCCATATTTCAATGATGGGGCTTCCCTCCCATCTGTATACATTCACTGTATAAGAGACAGATTTCAAACTCTTGTACAGTGCAGGCATACAGTTGTTGCCACACAGCGGTGAGTTCTGTGTAAGAGGACTTAATTATGATTATTACAACAGGTAGAAGCTCGGGAACAAAATCTTCTCTGCCTCACATGCAGCCCTACTACCTTCCTCTCCCTTGCTGCCTCATATCTAGCAGGTGAAAAAAAATGACAAAGTTAAGGTTGCCTGAGCAATCTTAACACTGTTCCTTTGTGTGTAAATCTAATAATTAAAAATAATTATATTCAGTTGTTGTAGTATAGAGCTATTTGAATGGAGTGTGTTATTAGCCGCCATCTGCTGCTTCACTATATATTTGCTTAGTGTGATCCGAAAAAGTCATTCGGCTTTTAACATTTAACAGCTCATGTATTTCCCATCTCTCAAATAAGAGCATACCTTCTTTTACCTTTCTAGCTAATATTGTATATTTTTAAATCCTAAAGTACAGGGAAAGAAACACACATCACTGCTGTTTCAGATCTCCCAGAGTTACACAAAGTTCAAGAAGAATCCCCTTTGGACAACTACTCAAACAGTCAAGACAAGTCATTACCAAGGGCTTTAGACCAGCTTATCTCAGCAAGGCAAGAGAAAATATCTCCAGAAATCTCCCAGAAAAAGGAAGCACAAGTTGAAGCAACTCTTAGATCCAGTATTGAAGAAGATCTTTCTCTCTTCACATATGAGAACCTAACCTTGCCATCAACTTTAATTCCCAAAGGTCAAGTTTCTTTTAAAGACTTATTGCCCAGTCACAAAGTATCTTCTGCTGATTTTGCCAAAATTAAAGAAGAATCTCAAACAACTCCTATTTTTCCTATTGAAACAACACCTGCTATCATATCTTCTAAGATCCTGGAAGAGGTATCTGCAGTTTTCACTCCAGAGGATAAGATGATATCTACTACAACTTCTTCTGTTGAAGACAGGGTGCAGTATTATTGAATATTATAATTTTAGATATGATCTAATTATTTAGGACTAGATTGTACAACCCTAGCATATGGTAAGCAAGCCATGCAACCTGAGAATATTGTTAACACTTGCTTACATGAATAATCCCATTGACTTAATGATCATCAATGAAATAGCAAAGTTTTACATTATTTGGGCCATTAGGTTTTACAGCTGACACTCCAACACCTCTAGTGGGGAACTTTACACCTTATCCTTGTTAAGGTTGACTATAAACTCACGAAAACGACTCCGTATCATGTTACATGCAGTTAACTTTTAGAAAGTTATCTTTGCAATCATCGGAATTATAAACTTACTTTTTTAAAAAAGTGAAAGCTTAGATTCTTCAAGTGCTGGTCCCTATGTGTATGCCACACCTGGGTACACATGTTCTCCATGCACCTGAGACTGGAGATTTATAGCAAATAATGTCTGTTGGTCCACACCTGGACAGTTGCTCTCCTCGAATATAAAGGGTGGCGTGGACTGAAGTCTTTCCAGTTCCTTCTTGCCACCACGTGGTCTGAGTTGAAATTCTCTGTCTGAAACAATCTTCCTTCCTTTCAGAATCTCTCTGTGTGTGTTTTTAGTAGTCTTAGCCTTAGGGTTTTAATGATTTTAGTGTTTTTAGTTAGGGAGAAACAAGTCAAACTATCCTATCTTGGAAAGCTTCTTCTCACAGAGGAGGACCGTGCCCAGAGTCCCGGGATTTAAGAACTATATCTCCTGCCCTCATTCCTTCTCTGTCAGTGCTTAACACTAGCGCTGCCTTTACTGCCTTGGAAAGGCTCACATCTCTGCCAAGTGCAACATTTGTTGCTCCTTCCTTTCCTGAACCTGTGAGGGAAGAGAACTCCATCTGAGGAAGGTCATGAGACCCCAGTTGGCTCCTGGCTGGGAGATGCCCTTGTATAATGGCCCAGACTGTGAGCAGGACCCTCTGAGCTCTGGATCTGGGACTCCTCAAACTCTGGGAAGGACTGAAACCTTTATCTGACCGGAGGATATTTTCACTTTACCCTTCTCACAATGTCTTCCATCTGGACCAGTCCTCCTCAGAGATATTTCAACACCAGAAGAAATCCCCTTGCGGAGAAGACAATTCTTTCCTACCATGTCTACAAGCTGGAGCATTCTTTCACTGGGACCACCCTTGGGAAAGGTACTACCATTTCATCAGATGAGTCAGATGTTCCAGATGAATCTTCATGCCCACGGGAAACCAGCCAGGATAGAACCTCTAGGAGGTCTTGGAGTTGCCCTTCTCCTGGATACAGCTACTCAGGGGACTTTTGGTATTCAGTGCCTCATTGCCAGCCCTCTTCTAGCTGATACCAATAATCTCTATTGGAGTTTACAAAAGAGGAAGTTGAGCCAGACCCACAGGCCTTGATGGTTCTGATAGGTGTGTCATCCTCCCCACCCAACAAGGCAATTGTTCCATCATCCCATCTCTGCCTGACGACCACAGGTTATACCAAGATCTCTTGCAGAGGGTGGTAACTGAGTTCCAGATCCCTTTTGAGGAAGTCCATGACACAACATAGACTCTTGGACATCCTGCAATCATCAGGCCCTAGTAGACTGGCCCTCCCAGAGAACAAGGCTGTTGTGGAATCTGCCAGGACAGTGTGGTATACCCCTGCCTTCTGTGCCCCCACTCCTAAAAGGGCTGAAAATGCTATTTTGTTCCAACTAAAGGGATAGAGTTGCTGTTTACCCCCTAGTGTCCAACTCCTTAGTGGTGTAGGCAGCTACACAGAGGTCCAGGATACAACCCCCCAAGACTACTCTGACTAGTAAGGGCGCTATATGCTTTCACCTTCTGGGGAGGAAGATATTTTCATGAATCAGACTCCAATTCAGAATTGTTTACTGCTAGACTCTGCTAGCAAAATATGATTTCACAAATTACTCCAAATTTGTAAAATTCAGGGACAAATTTCCTCTGCAGGACAAGGCTCTCAGTGATGAAGGCACTCTGGGTGGCAGTGGATGTAGCTGATACTGCATCTAGAGCCATTGCCATAGCTGTAGTCATGAGGCATGAATCATGGCTGCACTCTTCCAGGTTCCCCAGGGAGGTCCAGAATACTATCGGACTTGACCTTTAATGGGTCTAATCCCTTCAGTGAGAAGACTGGGGAGTCACTTCACTCTCCTACATTTACACCCTGGTCCCTAAAGAGAAAACACCACAAGCAAATTTACAAGCCCAGCCCTCCCCATCAGCCATTTTACCACCAGCACCCTTAGGAATTGCCACTCAAACCGCAGAAGGGATGAAGACCCAGGTTCGCAACTTCCTCCACCCCAATTGCTGCTGCTTCTCAACCTCACTTGCCACCCAGGGGTTCATAGAATCATAGAATCATAGAATATAAGGGTTGGAAGGGACCCCAGAAGGTCATCTAGTCCAACCCCCTGCTCAAAGCAGGACCAATTCCCAGTTAAATCATCCCAGCCAGGGCTTTGTCAAGCCTGACCTTAAAAACCTCTAAGGAAGGAGATTCTACCACCTCCCTAGGTAACGCATTCCAGTGTTTCACCACCCTCATAGTGAAAAAGTTTTTCCTAATATCCAATCTAAACCTCCCCCACTGCAGCTTGAGACCATTACTCCTCGTTCTGTCATCTGATACCATTGAGAACAGTCTAGAGCCATCCTCTTTGGAACCCCCTTTCAGGTAGTTGAAAGCAGCTATCAAATCCCCCTCATTCTTCTCTTCTGCAGGCTAAACAATCCCAGCTCCCTCAGCCTCTCCTCATAACTCATGTGTTCCAGACCCCTAATCATTTTTGTTGCCCTTCGCTGGACTCTCTCCAATTTATCCACATCCTTCTTGAAGTGTGGGGCCCAAAACTGGACACAGTACTCCAGATGAGGCCTCACCAATGTCGAATAGAGGGGAACGATCACGTCCCTCGATCTGCTCGCTATGCCCCTACTTATACATCCCAAAATGCCATTGGCCTTCTTGGCAACAAGGGCACACTGCTGACTCATATCCAGCTTCTCGTCCACTGTCACCCCTAGGTCCTTTTCCGCAGAACTGCTGCCTAGCCATTCGGTCCCTAGTCTGTAGCTGTGCATTGGGTTCTTCCGTCCTAAGTGCAGGACCCTGCACTTATCCTTATTGAACCTCATCAGATTTCATCAGGTTTCTTTTGACAGGTCACTTGAGAACTGTGTACATACATTGATGCCCTTCTGCAGTGTCACCAAAATTTTGGTGGCTGCCTTGCCCACTTTGCCCACAATTAGAGGGCAATAACTATGGACAGGTGGGCAATAGAAATAATTCATTCTGGCTACACAATCAAGTTTATCTCACTTCACCACCATAAACCTCCTTCCCAGTGTCAGTCTCTGGGTTCAAGATGGTCAGGCCTGGTAGTTACGCTGTAATCAAGAATAGGTACAAAAGTTGAAACCATTTGTAGAGTTGGGATTGGGCTGAGGGCAGCACTGCAACCAAGGTCGGGGACAGGCTGTGGGTAGAACTGAGGTCAGAGTCTGTAGATGAGCCAAATCAGGATCATAGTTGGAGTCCAGATGCAGCCCAAAGGTCAAAGCCAGATGGGAGTCATTCCAAGAATTGGGGCGGGGGTGAGGGGTGTGAGGAAGCGAGTGCAGGGCTGGAGTGGTCAGTAACAGGGCTGGAGCATGGTTGGAGCAGGGCACAGGCAAGGCTGAAGCAGGCTGGAACAAGGCTTGGGTTAGGCTAAGGCAGGACCAGGAACTGGATCAAGGGCATGCTGGAAGCCTAGGAAGTGTGTAACACTGTGTGGCAGCAGGAAGGTTCCTGACCAAGTAGTGCTATTGCACAGACTAACTTGAAAGTCTGGCGGGGTCATTACCTTAGGGTCAACTGACACAGACTTTGCCCAGGGATAGTCTGCTGCCGCATGCCTTAGTGCTAAATCACTGCAAGGTCTGCTTACAGGATGAGTCAATAAAGCTCATGCCTGAATGATGAGTCACTGCAGGCTCTTTTGGAGATGTGAGTCATGGCAGCTTGAGTGAGAAGTCCTGGTCTGGCTTGGGGTTTGCCTTCTATTTGGCCACACTCTGTGTGTCTATAATCATGGAAGCATCCCTCATAGGAAACCCACATGGACAATCACACTACACAAGGCACAGGGTCTCCTTAGGAGGTGAGAATGCATATCAATCTACTGGAGCTGAGGTCAGTCCATCTAGCCTGCAATACATTCGTCTTCCTTATACAGTTCCGTCATATCCAGATAATGTTGCACAATGAGACATTATTCTGCATAAATAAACAAGTTGGAGCAAAATCTCTTCCTCTTTGTATGGAGGCAGTCAGTTTATGAAACTAATGCATCAGCAACCACATCAGTGTCTCAGCAACCTACCTACCAGGTGCACAGAATTCTCTGGTGGACAATCTCAGCAGACACTTTTCCATGAATCCTGTGTGGGAGATACACAATTCTGCCCTGAAAAACATATTTGCCCAGTGGGGGACACCATCTGTTGGCCACCCAGGCAAATGAGAAAGTAAATCTATATTGCTCTAGAGCAGTAATAGGCCAGAAGTCCTGGGATGATGTATTTCTGCTATCCTGGATAGATCATCTGAGAGATGCTTTTCCTCCCATCCCTCTGCTACCTCAGGTTCTGCAAAAAATTATCATGACAGGAATAAGACCATTCTTATTGCATCCAAGTGGCCCTTCCTGTGAATGTCAGCCCAGCCTCCCATCAATATCTGACCCTTTCTGGATCTATTAATTGAGGAGAATGGCTGGATCAGATGTCCTAATTCAGACCCTTTTCATCTCAGGGCCATGTATTTGGATGTAGGACTTTCATGCTCAGAGCCCATCTAAACTATCTTCAATCAGAGCAGAAAAGTTTCCAGCAGAAAACACTAAATGGAGGTGGTTCTCTACCTGGACACAGCCAAAAGAGTTATTCCCAGAATCAACAGATATTCCTGTTAATTTAGACTATGTTCTGTCCTTCAAGACATCAGGACTTCCTATTAGCTTGGTATTGGTCCACTTGGCAGCAAAGAATTGCTTTCATCCTCTGATAGCAGACCATTGTATCTTTGCTCACCCAACCGCCATTTGATTTTTAAAAGGTCACATTAAGAGAAAACCCATGCCACAACGAGACATAAACCTGGTACTGTTAATTCTTACTAGACCACCATCTGAATTGATGGTTGTGGATGGATATCACACCTATCCATGAAGGTTGCCTTCTTAGTTACCATCACATTGGTCAGATAGGTGAGCAATCTGGGAGTACTCATGACTGACCCACCATATAACACATTTCATAGAGAAAAAGTCTCCCTTCACCTCCACCCAAAACTCATTCCCAAGGTAACTTCTGCGATTCATCTGACCCAACCTATTCACGTACCAGTATTCTTCCAAAATATCATGTTGATCAGCTTAAAGTTCAATCTCCTTGGCCTTTTCTTGCCACCACTTGTTTTTGTTGTCACAGATTTTCCTTTGGGCTTCAGTCTTGAGTTGCTTATATACCTCTTGCTTCTGCTGCTGTGATATGTCGTTTTGCCATATGTGATGAGCTTTACTTTTCTGGTTGAGCAGGCCCTGAATCTCAGCATCATTTCCATCAGACCAATCTTGGTGATGGCGGGTGACGTAGCCTGTCAGGGTACCCTCCCCACTCTGGACTTTAGGGTACAGATGTGGGGACCCGCATGAAAGCCCCCCTAATCTTATTTCTACCATCTTAGGTTAAAACTTCCCCAAGGCACAAATTCTCCCTTGTACTTTGGATTAGGTAAATGCTGCCACCACCAAGTGATTTAACACAGAATCAGAGAAAGGACCACTTGGAGTCCCATTCCTCCCAAACATCCCCCCAAGCCCTACACCCCCATTTCCTGGGGAGGCTTGAGAATAAACAAGATGAGCAGAGACCAACCTTGGTTTTTTTTAGGATACTAAAAAAACCAATCAGATTCTTTAAAAAAAAAGAACTTTATTAGAAAGAAAAAAGGTAAAAGAAGCACCTCTGTGAAATTAGAATGGGAGATAATCTCACAAGGCAATTAGATTCAAAACACAGAGAATTTCCCTCTAAGCAAAATCTTAAAGTTACAAAAAAGAAAAACCAGGAATACAACTTCCTCTCAGCACAGAGAAAATCACAAGCCAAAACAAAAGATAATCTAACTCATTTCCTTGCTAAATACTTACTAAGGAGTTGGAGTGCTTGCTTTCTTGTTCTGTCTCTGGCAAAAGCCACATGGAACAGACAAAGTCTTTCCCCTCCTCCCCCAGATTTGAAAGTATCTTGTCCCCTTATTGGTCCTTTTGGTCAGGTGCCAGCCAGGTTACTTGAGCTTCTTAACCCTTTACAGGTCAGAGGTTTTTGTGCCTCTGGCCAGGAGGGATTTTATAGTACTGTATACAGACAGGTGGTTACCCTTCCCTTTATTTTTATGACATAGCCAATGGACTCAGCACATGCAGAGAGAATTGCAGCCATTTACAGTCCATGGTCCCATGGTCTCACACCACTCCAAGTGCAAGACAGGTCGATGCACCTCAAGGACAGTGGAGCCATCAAAGCCAAATAGAAGGAGCATTTTGAGTCGCTCCTGAACCATAAGTAAATTGTCTCTGATGCCACTAATGTATCCATACCTCAACTACATGAAAGAGAATCTCTTGCTGAACCCCCTGCCCTCCAAGAAGTAACATAAGCCATCATGCAAACCATGAACAACAAGGCAGCAGGACCAAACAGCATACCAGCTGAAGTTTACAGATTTGGAGGTGAAGAACTGGTAAAGAAGCCCCACAGACTTTTTCTTCAAATATGGTATAATGAGAAGATTCTGAACGACTTGAGAAATGCCAACGTTGTTACAATCTTTAAGAAAGGAGACAAGTTGGAGTGTGGAAATTATCGAGGCATTGTCTTGCTATCTACAGCAGTGAAAATTCTCACCCGTATCCTCTTAAACAGATTATTCCCCCTTGCTGAGGAAATATTGTCAGAATCTCAATGCAGTTTCAGGCCATCCCACAGGACAGCTGACATGATCTTCATTGCCTGTGAAATCCAGGAAAAGTCTCAGATTTGGCTGCTCTCCAAAATTTATTAAGGTCCTAAGGCTTCTTCACAATCAGATGACTGCCACTGTTCTCTGTATTGGCCTGGAGATGGACCCTTTCATCATCAAAACTGGGGTTAAGCAAGGACGCATTATTGACCCAATCCTGTTCTCCATCTATTTAGCAGTCATTCTTGTCCTCATTAAAGACCGCCTCCCTGCTGGAGTTGACATACAATACAGAATGGATGGCGGCTTTTTAATATTTGATGTCTCTGCTCAAAGTCTGAAGTCTAGGGCATCCATTACTGATCTTCAATATGCTGATGATTGTGCCATCCTCGCGCATACTGAGAATGACCTTCAGTCCACACTGGAATGTTTTGCACAAGCTTACCAAAGCCTAGGACTCTCATTTAATATCGAGAAGAGTAAAGTGCTCCATCAGCCTCCCTCAGGCCTTGCACATGACTCACCATCAAGGGAGAGACTCTGGAGACCGTCAAGCACTTTTGCAACCTCAGTAGCCAACTCTCTCAAAATACAAAACTTGACAGTGAGATCTAGCACAAGATCTAGTGCACAAGTGCTTCCTTTGGGGAAACTTCTCTGATGCATTTTCACAGACAGTTACTTATTGAAGGACACGAAGATCCAGGTCTATAAGTCAGTTGTCATCTCTACACTCCTCTATGGATGCGAAACCTGGGTGACCTACCAACAGCACCTCAAGAGTCTGGAGAGGTACCACCAATGATGCCTCTGGAAGATCCTTCTTAGCAAGTGGGAAGATTGCCACACTAACGCCAGCATCCTCACTGAAGCCAATGTCACCAACATTGAAGCAATGATCCTTATGCATCAACTTCTGGGCTGGATATTGTGTGTGGATGCCAGAGACACGCCTCCCAGAACAAGTCCTCTACTCTCAGCTCACCTATGGTCAGAGATCCTGTGCTGGTCAGAGGAAACACTACAAAGACACACTGAAAGTGTATCTCAAGTAAATTGATGTGGACATCACAAGCTGGAAGGAGCAAGCCACCAACTGACCTCGGTGGGACCACATCCTCCATCAAGCAGTGGCCTTCTTTGAGGGGAAGTGCCTTGCCCTGAAAGCTGAGAAGAGAGAAGGAAGGAAACTTCCTCCCAGCAGGCAGCTGATCCACCCAGAAATGTCTGTGCCTCGTGGTAAATCTATGGTTCCAGGATTGCACTCCTGAATCATCTCAGGACCCATACGTAAATCCGTGGTAGAGATCATCCTCAAATTGAGGGATCGCTGACAAAGATTCTTCCCAAAACTTCATGCTTCCAATGAATGAGGCTTCACTCCCTTGACGTTAGATGTGCCTTGGCCTTTTATGTGTAAGGAACTAAACCAATTGGGAAAACACCAAGACTATTTGTCAATATAGCAGAGTAATGGCAAGAAAAAGCTTTCTCTACCCAGAGACACTCTCAGTGCATCTCTGGATGCTTCATTTTATGTTATCAGTTGGCACATATTCTTATGCCAGATGGGGTGAGGCTCACTCCATGAGAAAACAAGCAACGTCATAAGCACCTCTTTGAGAACTACCTATACTGGACATTTGTAAGGTGGCTACCTGGAGCTCCTTCAAACCTTTTATGAAGCATTATGCCTTAGTCCAGGTCTCTTGTGCAGCTGTGGGGACAGCAGCATTACAGACCTGCATACCAACTGTGTCCTCACACCCACCTCTGGTATGGATACTGCTCATCAATCATTCACATATGGAATATACATGGGGACCAGCACTCAGAGAAGAAATGGAGATTACTTGCCTGTAATGGAAGGTTCTTTTGAGATGTGTGGTCCCTATCTGTATTCCACTACCCACCCTTCTTCCCCTCTGCCTCAGATCTTATCTGATTTGCACTAAGAAGAGGAACCGGAGGGGTACTGTATGTGCCGTCCTTCATGTCCTTGATTCAGAGCACAAGAAGAGCAACCATGCAGTCACCGACCTATGGACACTACTTGCTACAAATCTCCAATCTCAACTGCACGGAGCACATGTGTACCCACATGTGGAATACAGATAGGGGCCACACAGCTCAAAGAACCTTCAATTACAAGTAACCTCCATTTCTCAAAAATCAGAGTATATGGCATGAACCATAATAAGCACAGTAGGCAGACAGGGCCTTGGATACCCCAATGTAAATCTTTGTGAATAATTACATCCTACAGCAGAGTATCTCAAAAGTCAATATTTACAGTTTAAATTGATGCAAATGGATAAACTGCTTGATACTGTAGTAAGTGCATTAAATAGCAATAACATTCAAATTCTAAAATACACATTTATATAAAACCTGAATGTAATAAATGAATAATCAAATGTACTTGAAACAAGTAGCATGACATTTATCTATTAATACTCCTTTTGGATTGCCAGACTTTTCTAGGAGATATTCAAGAACCACTTGAAGTTTATCAGGTAAAACATTAATGCAAAACCTTTTATGCTGTAAAAGAGAAAATATTTTAAAGCTATTCACTTAATGTAAAAGAGTGCTTAACTGATCACTAATATGTTTAAACAGAACTTCATATGTAAATATTTCTCCAAACAAAGCAACAATGTTAATAGGATTATTGATCATAATTACTCCAGCCCTACAATTCAAAGGTGACCAAGATATATAGTAGTTATTGGGATGTGGCCAATGCTTTATTTGAATTTGCCTCAGGATGATGTGTGCTTCCCTGAAGATGGCCTGGAAAGCCTAATGTCCTGATCCTTGAAGGTCCAACCCCTCTAGGAGAGAGAATAGTGTTAGACATGCAGTTCTTTGCTATAATGGACGATATGATCTTTAGTAAACTGCTCAGTTGAGTCACCTGAGCAAATCACCTGTTACATATACTTCTTGGTATCAATTATGCTTGACAGAAATGAATGGGTATATTATCAAGATTAATGTTTTCAAAATTAGTAGATCTATATACTTTTCCATGTAATACTTGGACACAGAATAACATGACAGATGTTGTTACTTGAACTAATTATTTTCTGGCTAGTTGAGAATTTTAAGTTTAAAGGACTTTAAGAGAACAAAGTCTAGCACTGTAAGGCTTAAGATGCAAAATAAAAATACTGAAGTTTCTCATTTCTGTCTGAGTATTTGGATGAAAATCAATATTGTAATAGCTTAAAAATGTACCGATGAATCTTGACTTTGAGATCTGTAAATACAAGTATTCTCTAAAGTGTTGGATACCTTGCTAAAAACACTAAAATACTACAAAATGACAGATCATTCTGATTTTTGTATATGTCAGCTTGGCTAAATGTATGTAGAAATATGTTAAAAAAAGTTTATATTTTATCTTAACGTATTGCTTTGCACTGATGAAGTCATTGAGCGAGTGTTAAGTTTGCATTAATTAAATCATAAGATTTATTATTAACAATATACTTTTTAATATAACAGCTCAATGTTTTTGGAATAAAATATATGTGTCGCATGTAATCCCTTAACATTGCTTTTTTAATTTCTAGGATATTCAGCCTTATGTACAAGATTCTCCTAGAGTTTATGAGGTAAAATATAATACAAAACCTTTAAATTACAAATGAGAAAATATCTTAAGTGATCCTTTTAATGCATTGCGTGGTTATCACAAAGGGAATACATTTTTATGTAAATGTATAGTAAATATTTATGAGAGGGACACATTAACATTAATTTCTTTTTCTACAGGGGGGGGGCCTGAAATATTAAAAGTAAAAAATGTCCAAGGTTGAAAACTCAGGGATAGAATGCCTATGTACTTTCAGCAAAGGCAATATGCCAGCCGGTACCCCTTTGTCAGTAATATTTAGCTTAGATTCATCCACACTCAGATGGGAAGTCCATTTAAACAGCAATTTGTTAGCTGGAGCTCATTGATCCCCAGAAGAAAAGAATATACATATCAATATCTTAAAGTTGAGAGCTGTCTGGTTGGCTCTAAAGTCATTTCTGCCTCACATCAAACACAAGGTAGTTCAAGTGATGACAGATGATATGACAGCATTGTATTATCTGAACAAACAATACAGGGCTCATTTCTTTCAATTATGCATAGAAGCAAAGCATCTTTGGGAATGGTATATAGAAAAGAATGTTCACCCAATAGCAATTCATGTGTCAGGGGAACAAAACACCCTTGCAGATCATCTGAGCAGGTTGATCTCTCAAGTGCATGAGTGGTGTTTGAAAGATGAAGTAGTAGCACATCTCTTCAGGTCATGGGAGAATCTGGTAATAGATCTTTTTGCAGCCAGCAACAACAGGAAATGTCAAAAAGGTTGTTTAAGGGCAGGGAGAGACAGGATCCAATATCAAATGCATTTCTAATATATTGGGGTCAGGGCTTAATGTCTGCATTTCCTCTCATTCAGATAAACAAAATAAAACAAGAGAAAGCTAGAGTAATTTTAATAATACCAGAATGGGCCAGACACCAATGTACCCAGACTTACTATACCTGTCCGTGCAGTTAATAGAGCCTCTACCATTAGTACTGGACTTGTTGCAAATGACAAGGGATGGTTTATCAATCATATTTTTGGTCTTTTCATTTAATGGCATGGGGAGTCAGACTCTGGGATTGTTAGAAAAGTATTGCTCATTAGAAGTACAAAATGTAACAATGAATTCCAGGGAAGAGTTCACATGAAATTGTTATAGTTATAAATGGAAAAGATTTTTATTGTGGATTTCTATGTATGCTATACATCCATATTCAGCACAAATTAATTATATATTAGAATCTTAACAAAGCAGCCCTGTCGCTGTCTTCAGTGAAGATTCATCTCTCTGCTATATCAGCATACCAGGTATCATTTTTACTAATTATGTAGTTAAAAGACTCTTAAAAGGCCTTAATAACTTATATCCTCCAATAAAGACACTCTGTGCCATCTTGGGATTTGAATTTAGTGTTCTTAAAATTGATGAACCATCCCTTTGAACCTTTGGGAGACTGTACTTTGTTCCATTTGTCTATTAAGGGGTCAGAAAATGAAGACAGAGTATTTGTCCTAAGATTGGGGAGAGCTCTTTAACTGGAATGTAAAAGGTGGAAGCCATATTGGAGTAGAACTAGGGAGATACTAGACCAAAGGATCTCATATAGTGTTAAAATGCTGTGGTTGCAGAGCAGTGAGTATATTTAACCCAGAAAGAATTGCATAGAAGTGGTCACACATATTACCCATTAACCTAAAGAACAAACTTCACTAAGATGTTAAAAAAAACAATTGATTGTTAATATATAATTAGCAAATAATATGAAATGATAGTTCATTCTCTTTTTATTGATAGACTAAAATTTCGGAGAATATTTTACCCAGTGAAAAAAGTCTTCCCAGTATTTACAAAGACACAGTAGATCTTAAAGGTAATTTTTTTTCTCTTTTGCAAGAGATGGAGAATGTTTGATAATAGGAGCCATCATGCCAAATACATGATGGAATGTGGTGTAACACATTTCAGATACATAAGTGACTGATCTTTTATTAAGTGTATTCTGCTATAGCTCTCTCTGATATACTAATTATAGACTGAGGAAAAATTCTTAAAGCAATCAATTTATTCGTTAACCAAATTGTATTTTGTGAACATTTATAAAAGTCATTCATTTATAATGATATGCTGGAAAAGCTATTTCCTTTGGGAGCTTTACACTCTCAAAAAAGATGGTTCATTATATAAATTTTTATTAAAGCTAGCGTGCACTGCTTTTTAAAATAGATTATATTATATTGTCTAAAATAATCTCTTTTATGTAGGGATAAGAGATGAGCTGTCATACAAAAGAAGGCTTTCATTTGCAAAGCTGCCATCAAACAAGCACAAACTCTGCCCTGGTCTACACTAGGACTTTAGGTCGAATTTAGCAGCGTTAAATCGATGTAAACCTGCACCCGTCCACATGATGAAGCCTTTTTTTTCGACTTAAAGGGCTCTTAAAATCGATTTCCTTACTCCACCCCTGACAAGTGGATTAGAGCTTAAATCGGCCTTGCCGGGTCGAATTTGGGGTACTGTGGACACAATTCGACGGTATTGGCCTCCGGGAGCTATCCCAGAGTGCTCCATTGTGACTGCTCTGGACAGCACTCTCAACTCAGATGCACTGGCCAGGTAGACAGGAAAGGAACCGCGAACTTTTGAATCTCATTTCCGGAGACTGCGGGAACTGTTTGATAGCTACTCACAGTACAACACTCTGGAAGTCGATGCTTGCCTCGGTACTGTGGAAGCACTCCGCCGAGTTAATGCACTTAATGCACTTAGAGCATTTTCTGTGGGGACACACACACTCGAATATATAAAAACGATTTCTAAAAAACCAACTTCTATAAATTCGACCTAATTTCATAGTGTAGACATACCCTCTGACAACAGTTCAATTAGAACCAAGAAAACCATTGATAAGTGCAGAATTAGTAATATCTTGATTAAAAATTATTACTTTCATAAAGTCTCCAGCGATTTTCATGGTGTATTTACTATGTATTGTAATCATTCTTCAGTAATCAAAATTACATTTTCTTAAACCACATCTTAACTCCATATCACCTAGATTATCAAGAGAATTTAAGACACACCTCAACCCTTCAGGGACACTATTAGGATTGCTGGGACTCTTCCAAAAATCAGTATGGACCATTCACTCACATGGCTTATGCACCAAAAAGTGTATCTCCTTGCTGAAAAGTGGAGCAACATAAACAAAAGCTTAGACTTCTATATGTAAATTAAAACCTCATGCTTGGTATGTAATTTAAAACAAAAACAAACAAAAATGATCCCATGCAGAATATTCTCAAAATAGCTGCAAATAAAAAATATGGTGGTGGTAGTGGGAGGGGGGTAGACAGTAGAGTGAGATAATCTGGGAAGATTTAGGGAAAAACTATAGTTTTATGAATGGTACCCTAGAAAAAACAATGCAATTTACTACATTTAATTGACATCAAATTAATACCACACTGAACAGCATTGGTATTAGAAAAGCATGAACATTTCAGTGACTCACCAAGAACACAAAGACCTCTAATTACTTGGAGGAGAGAGGAACCAAACCATTTAAAGAATGTGTGTGTGACCTTTGTACAGGAAGCAGCATCGGTCCATGGAAAAGGCAATGCATTGAGACTCAGGTGATGTGGATTCTAGTCCCAGTTCTGCCACTCATTCACTGTTCGATCTTTGCAAGTCAATTCACTTCTTTATACTTAAGTTTCCACTTCTGTAAAATAGAGATGATACTTAATATACTTCGTAAATCTCTTTTTAGATCCATGGATAAAAGGCACTATAGAAGAGCTAATTAATTATTATTATTATTATTATTATTTATCTCTGACTGCTAGAGGTTTGAAAAAGCTTGCAGTATATTTACATATGCTCTGGCTTGCTCCCACAGATACTAGCATACGTATAGTAGTGCAGTGCTATGTATTAAATCTTCCCCAATACATTACACCTAGTATTTATCTCTTCAATGTGTATTTTTTCACCAGCGAACACAAAACGTTACTATAAACACTTTTTCTCAAAATATATATTGATATACTCATCTTATTTTTCCAGTGCAATTTTGCAGATCTTAGCCTTTTCTATACTTTGGAACTTTTTGAACACATTAATTCCACTAGCAATTGTCTACCCCCAATATTTTCTGGAAAGGATGCTTTTGACACAATAGAGTAACTGATGCCTTGTAAAGAGATAAATCAATGTCTTGGTCATATGCAGTTGTGGCAAATTACCCCTTTGCTTATGCTGACAAGTCCACTTTAGCCATGTCCCTTTACCCAAATATCCCTCTGTGCTGGTAGGGAGGCTTTTGTAGTAGTACAGCAGTATTGTCACAGAGATGGGACTTGGAGGTGAGATGACTCTTGCAGCGTTATGCAACAAACATAGTCTCATTACTTACTCAGATGTAAATCTGGCATATTATATTGTAAATGGGAATGTTATCTTAATTCTTAAGAAAGGGCAGGGAGAATCAAGACTCTATGTATCAATGTGAGGGATACCTATCAAACATTTCAAAACTTTTTCTTCTCAAGATAAATTCAAAACATTGTTAAATGGGTGTTATTTTTACTGATGACCATAATGGTTTAATTGGAGTGGTTGTTTATTTACATAAAGATCTTTACATTTTCCTTTACATATTCAAAACACAATGCTAGTGATATGTGTCCACAATAACATTTAATGATATGCTGACATACTGTTTCTTGAATAATATTGTACTATACGGTTTTTTTTACAGGATAACTTGCAAGTAAATGATTCAAAAAAGAGTCATTGTGCATTCAACCTTAACTTTTTGTATTTCCTGAATTTTGAATGTTTAAATGAGCAAACTTAACATACATTAATTTTAAGCTTTCATGTAGACTAAACTGTTCAAATTTGGTGCCTGATTTTCAGATGTGTAGAGTACCCATAGGTCCAACTGAGGTAATTGTGAACTGTGGATGCTCAGTACTTCTGCAAATCAAGCCCTTTATGACTAAAGGTAGGCTCCTAAATGTATATTGAGGCACAAAAAAAGAGCAGTTTTGCTTTCTGAGGTGTTGACCACCCACAGCTCAGAGGTTAATTTCATTTCTGAGCCTAACTTTAAGTATATATATTTGAAAATATTTACCCCTAATTTCTTAGTATTTTTTAAAATAAATAAATAAAGCAAGAAAAAATTCCCAGTTCTATAGTTAACTGTCCCTAGTCAGCAAAGGCTAATTGATGTCTGTCTGTGTCATTAATAAACTGTATATGTACAATCTTAATAAGCACTATTTGACCAAAGGTTGACTAACGTCAATTATGAATGTAATGCATTATCTGTGTACAATCTCCTATGTCCATGTACATTGAGGCGGTTCCAAAGTTTGTCAATTTTAATTTGTTCTATTTTTTAAATCATTGTATTAATTTTCCTCAATTATGGCTTGAGTTTTATTGAGATATACAAAACATACCAAGTTTGAAAAAAATTTACAGTTATGAACATTTAATTTCAGCAAGTTTATGAAAAGTTTTCTGATCTGTTAACTAGCCACAAACATATGTACAATACATCTTTCATTATGGGACACATTCTGGCCTCATTGTGTCTCACAGTGAAGGATCAGCTGGAGCTCCTCAGGCTAACCGAGCTTTGTTGTCATGATCACTTGAAATCCTCTGCAGAGAAAGGAGGGTACATCTACAATTTTGGGATTACAGGGTGGTGTCAACATTGCAGCTAGACCACTTGCTGGGGGCCTTTGGAGATGACATCAGGGAAGTCTTATGCATGTATAGAATGTCCATGGAGGTTGGTTTTGCTGTCTGATGTTGGAGATCCTTAAAGGACCACAAGAAACAAAACAGCAGATGGCAGACTAAGGGCTATGTAACAAAGTTCAGTCATAGAATCATAGAATATAAGGGTTGGAAGGGACCCCAGAAGGTCATCTAGTCCAACCCCCTGCTCGAAGCAGGACCAATTCCCAGTTAAATCATCCCAGCCAGGGCTTTGTCAAGCCTGACCTTAAAAACCTCTAAGGAAGGAGATTCTACCACCTCCCTAGGTAACGCATTCCAGTGTTTCACCACCCTCTTAGTGAAAAAGTTTTTCCTAATATCCAATCTAAACCTCCCCCACTGCAGCTTGAGACCATTACTCCTCGTTCTGTCATCTGCTACCATTGAGAACAGTCTAGAGCCATCCTCTTTGGAACCCCCTTTCAGGTAGTTGAAAGCAGCTATCAAATCCCCCCTCATTCTTCTCTTCTGCAGGCTAAACAATCCCAGCTCCCTCAGCCTCTCCTCATAACTCATGTGTTCCAGACCCCTAATCATTTTTGTTGCCCTTCGCCGGACTCTCTCCAATTTATCCACATCCTTCTTGAAGTGTGGGGCCCAAAACTGGACACAGTACTCCAGATGAGGCCTCACCAATGTCGAATAGAGGGGAACGATCACGTCCCTCGATCTGCTCGCTATGCCCCTACTTATACATCCCAAAATGCCATTGGCCTTCTTGGCAACAAGGGCACACTGCTGACTCATATCCAGCTTCTCGTCCACTGTCACCCCTAGGTCCTTTTCCGCAGAACTGCTGCCTAGCCATTCGGTCCCTAGTCTGTAGCTGTGCATTGGGTTCTTCCGTCCTAAGTGCAGGACCCTGCACTTATCCTTATTGAACCTCATCAGATTTCTTTTGGCCCAATCCTCCAATTTGTCTAGGTCCTTCTGTATCCTATCCCTCCCCTCCAGCGTATCTACCACTCCTCCCAGTTTAGTATCATCCGCAAATTTGCTGAGAGTGCAATCCACACCATCCTCCAGATCATTTATGAAGATATTGAACAAAACCGGCCCCAGGACCGACCCTTGGGGCACTCCACTTGATACCGGCTGCCAACTAGACATGGAGCCATTGATAACTACCCGTTGAGCCCGACAATCTAGCCAGCTTTCTACCCACCTTATAGTGCATTCATCCAGCCCATACTTCCTTAACTTGCTGACAAGAATACTGTGGGAGACCGTGTCAAAAGCTTTGCTAAAGTCAAGAAACAATACATCCACTGCTTTCCCTTCATCCACAGAACCAGTAATCTCATCATAAAAGGCGATTAGATTAGTCAGGCATGACCTTCCCTTGGTGAATCCATGCTGGCTGTTCCTGATCACTTTCCTCTCATGCAAGTGCTTCAGGATTGATTTTTTGAGGACCTGCTCCATGATTTTTCCAGGGACTGAAGTGAGGCTGACTGGCCTGTTGTTCCCAGGATCCTCCTTCTTCCCTTTTTTAAAGTCTGTAAATGAAAGCTAAGAAACTGCAAAAACTGATGGGACCACAAGAGAACTACAGCTGCACTATATCATAGGGAAATAGCTCAGTCAAACGTATTTCCGTTTATCTGTTACCATGGTATCTAGGTGCTTTTAGGCATATTAGCTGTGTATAAAGTATATAAGTACACTGTGGAAATATATTAGGCTAATGTGACAATGGGAAGGGAAGTTTTGTGAAGGCCAAATGTATAACTGGGTTCAAAAAACAATTAGATAAGCTCCTGGAGGATGGGTCCATCAATGGCTATTAGCCAAGACGATCAGAGATACAACCCCATGATCTAGGTGTCCCTAGCCTCTAATTGCCAGAACCTAAGGGTGGACGACAGGGGATGAATCACTTGATGATTGCCTGTTCTGTTCATTCCTCTGAAGCACCTGGCATTGGCCACTGTTGGGAGACAGGATATTGGGCTTGATGGACCATTGTTCTGACTCAGTATAGCCATTCTTATATGGCTAGTTTTAACTAGTTTGTAAATTTCAGTTTCTATGCGCTTTACCCATCCACACCTGATTTTTTTTTAATTACAGCATTTTAATGGTCTTGATGGACAGTTCTTTCAGCTTCCTTGTTTCCTGGTAGATGGGGACATAACAATATTAGAATTTTTAGATGTAGGAGAGAATGAACATATAATAATTTCTTCTGTTTGAGTTTGAAGAGTTATTAGCTAAAAAAGACTTCACTTTGCAGGTCATGTGGCAGATCTGAAAGATATGTACCAACCAGAAACTCTTGCAGCACTCTTACTAGAACACAGCAGAATCCTTGGTTTAAAAAATCCTGCCTCACACAGATATGTCAGGTTCCCTGCCCTATTAAATGAAAATCTCCTTTAAGAATCCTGTCTGCCTAGAACCAAACCTAATCAGTACCTGGGGATTTTGCTCCAACCTTAAAAAAAATTCATCTTTGAGTGACATCAAATTCAAGCCTAGTGATGAGTGGTTTGACAAGTTGTAAGTTTGTGAAAACAAGGTCTATCATGGAATGATTTTAACTATAATTCGCCACTCACTACTAATTAGTGGAAAATATTTACATGAGCTGTTGCATAGTTTCTGAGAGAAGAACCATTATTAGTTACATGTGATCAGTTGTCACTTCTGATTAGAGGCAACTATCATTATGCTAAATATATATTCTCAATGTGCAAATATGGTTTATATAAAGAAATATAATTTAAATATACATCAGCAGATAAACATTTGAGATTAGAAATTTAATGAGTAAAATATATTATTATTCTGTTACCTGGATCCTAGCTTAAAATTTGTGCATGTTTCCATAAGGTTATGACAAACAGAATTTTCAACAAGTTATTTTCTCCTTCTTTTGCATTCCCCAATGAAATAGAAGATTTATCAGCCACAGAAAGGCTTCTGTTAACAAATCAGTTGAAAAATCGGAATGAGATGCGACAAGCACAGACTCTTATTCTGGTAGAAGCAGGACAAAACATCGGTAAGTGGAAAATTAATCATTTAGAGTTCTAGTAAACAAATATCAGTTCTCTGAAGACTTTGGTGTCTTGCCCTAAGTGGAGCTACAATTATATATCTTTCTTTCCCACAAAACTTGAACTCCTACCACTAACTACCTTATACTCTAGAGTGCAGAAGATGCAGAAGCTGCTCTACAGTTGAAGATGGCTCATAAAAATGACAGACTAATGATTGAATTTAGGATTTTCCAAAGCAAAATTTGAAATCTTGATGAAAGGCCCTCAGAATTAGTTTGTCTCAGATCAAATTCTACATGGTTGCCTGCCATAGAATCTATGAACTTCCTTCCTTTTTATGTATGCATAGTGCCAAAGGAGTCTAGTTCTTCACAGAATGGGGTCCCTGTTAGAAATGTACTTTCCAGAACTGAAATAGGCCAAAAACATGTGCACCCAGATTAGAATAAACAGAGTCTTCTACTATTGAGCTAATAATAGTGTAGTGTAATAAGATTAGATTGTTCCAGAGGTTGAAGATGATTCTTTCAAACTCCTTCCTACCGGTACTGCTTTAACAAATACATCTAGGCACTAGATCATATTGTAGTCAAACTGTGTGCCCTTATCATTCTAGTTCAGCTGTTACTGCATAATGATTTAAACATCAAGTTTGAAATATTTAGATTACAGATTCAAATGGAAATAACGTGGACTCATCCCTTCATCTCTTCAAAGTTTAGATAAATTGAATTTTCATTGAGTTTACTGTGTGTACCTCTTTTTACATAAAAAGAAAAGGAGTACTTGTGGCACCTTAGAGACTAACCAATTTATTTGAGCATGAGCTTTCGTGAGCCACAGCTCACTTAAGTGAGCTGTGGCTCACGAAAGCTCATGCTCAAATAAATTGGTTAGTCTCTAAGGTGCCACAAGTACTCCTTTTCTTTTTGCGAATACAGACTAACACGGCTGTTCCTCTGAAACCTGTCTTTTTACATAAGACGTTCTAAAATTAAAATGAGGTCCTGTATGCTTTGTGTAGCTATTAATGGTCTCATAGCCCTTATCATAATACAACAGAACACTCATCATCAAAATTGACCAGGAGTGGACAGCCTTTTATCTCCATTAACATGTATTATCAATTTAAGAGAAGACATAATTTTTAATAATAGACACAGACACCAATAAGTGATTGAACAGGACCTTGGAGACAGAAATGAACTTGAATGATGGGGTGACTATTAGCCACTGACCTTCACTAAAGCAGCATGGCTAAAGAATAGTGGTCACTATCAGATAATGCCATGAAGTCTGAAGATCGTTATTATTTGTATTATGTTATTCCCCACGTGTCCTGTCACATGGTCACTTGTCCCTCCAAGGGGAGATAGAGCCAGCTCCAGCTGTGCCATAATTAATTAGATGCTTCCCAGCCTAAGGGGACAGGTCTGAGGAGGGTCAGATGACAGCATAATGGTCACCTGGGCCTTATGAAAGGCTTGAGTGAGCTCAGTCTGTGGTTGGAACCACAGGGAGTGGGCAGGCTTGTGTGCAAGGCCAGGGACTCCAGGGAAATCAGCCTGGGGGCCCAGTGCTCTATACCAGAGCAGGGGAGGAGTAAGGAACAGAGCCAAGCAGGAGTATGGCATTCCAAAGAAACTCCCTGGGGGCCGAGTGCTCTATGCCAGAGCCAGAAATATTCTAAAAGTAGTCTAAAAAGGGGCTAGGAACAGGTCCTAGAGGGCAGGCTGAAGGGAATCCCTAAAGGGCTAAAGAACCTTTTAATTTGTTAGGACTTGGGCTTTTGCTACCTGGCAAGGGCTTATGTTTGTTTGTGAGTTGGCAGGAAGGATAGGCCACTCTCCAGCACGGACCAGTGTGTGAAGAGCTGAGGAGACCCAGCTCAGGGAAGGGAACTGGGGAAGGAAGCACTAGTAGTACCACACTCAGCTAGCAGGAGTATTTGGGGGGCAGCCATGCCCTATAACAGGTCCCAGTCAGACTGGAGCCCCTTTGTACTGGATGTTGTACAACAAACCCTTAATTAAAAGGCCTAAAGAGCTTATAGTACAAGGTCCAGATTCAGCAAAGTATGTAAGTATGTGCTAAGCATATGAATATTCCTGTTGAAGTATTTGTGGCTATTTGTGCTTAATCACATGCTCAAGTGTTTTGCTGTATCAGTGCCTAAATTAAACTGGCATAACAAAGGTAGAGTGTGGGGTAGGTAGAATGAAAGTAACATTGACAGGCAAAAGTGGCCATACAGAATTACTAATGCAAAATTTGAATTTGAGTTTCTCATATTTTTAAAGAGACAAATAACTAAGTAATCCTTGCTGGCCACCTGCCTGGCCATTATCAGACATAGACAAGACCATAGTTTCAACTTCATAGAGTTTAAGGCCTCAGATCCATCCAATCTGACCTCCTGACCACACTTAGACTAGTGGGATGCAGGCATAAAGTTGACATGCTGATCCATTCCTGAAAGATCTCTTCCTGACTTGTCTTCTAATATTGGTCACATAGAAATTGTAGAAAATGGATTCAGCCCTTGGTTTGCCAGACACTCAAGTCACAGCATTAGTACTGGTCAAAAATTTTGCAATGGAGTGATTTTTCTGACAAAAAATGCCCTTTCCACAAAACCAAAATTTTCCACAAGAAAATTTCAGTTTTGCTGACAAATTTCAATTTTCAATTCAGGAATATCGAAACAACAGTTTGCTGGCTGCCCACCTGGAAGGCTTTTGTCAATCTGTTTGCCTCTCCCTTAGCTCTGAGGATGGACACGTCTAGATCTATTTTACATCTGAAATTGACTAGAAGCCTAAAAATTCAGTTTCAGTTCTCCCCAAATGGACTTTTTTTATATAAATAACTCTCCATGAATATTTTTGCATTTCGGTATTTTGCCCCAAACTTTTTGCAGAAAGGGATTCCCTTTTCTTGGCCAGCTCTATGTTCAACCTTTCTAATAATCTCACAGTAGCCATTGAAGGTGCACAGCTCCCATAACTGTGTGCCTGAATAAGTACCACCATGGCAGGCTGTAAAGACCCTCCCTTTCCAAATAAAGCACCCCCCAAAGATGGGTAGAAAATAAATTGGGAATTTGAAAATATTGGCACAACTGCAGACTAGTTCTGCGCCTGCCATCCTTCATACAGGGAAGTAGGGAGCCAAATAAACTCAGTCAGTACCAGTGAAGCTGGTGACTTAGTTCACACTAAGCTAGTACTTTTTAGTAGAAAAATTAGGGAAAACCCAAGAAAAAAACCTCTTCCCTCTGTTGCACCCTCCTATTCCTATGCTATTCTGCAGCCCCCAGTATAAAGTAAAAGCGGCAAAGAGTCCTGTGGCACCTTATAGACTAACAGATGTATTGGAGCATAAGCTTTCGTGGGTGAGACCCACGAAAGCTTATGCTCCAATACATCTGTTAGTCTATAAGGTGCCACAGGACTCTTTGCCGCTTTTACAGATCCAGACTAACACGGCTACCCCTCTGATACTTGACAGTATAATGTAGACTGCTCTGAAAGCCTGTTTGAGTTATCTTTCTATGTTCCCTAGCTTTCCTTAGGCCACAGCACTGCTGGGAATCTCTACAGGTCTGCGTACTAAATCTCCATTTATGACATGCCTCTCCTGCCCTCACCCCCGACATGCCCATACACTGGGCTTGCAAGGGAGTCTTCCCCAGTTTCTGAACCAGGCGAATCTTCCTCTGGCCAGATATGCAGAGCTCCTTTTTAACACTCTGTGCTTTTTACTCAGCTGGTGTAAAGGGGCAAAGTTTGGGTGAGGAGCTCACCTAAGATCTCTTACCCTCAAAGGTTTAATTGGGGAAAAAAAGGTTGTGGCACTCTTCCAGGCTCTGCCCACAAAATAAACACTGCCCATTTGAGATGCCATAATGGGAAGCCACTCAGTAGATTGTGCAGATGGTCAAAACAATCATGTATGCTGTTTGGCCTCCATGAGATTTGCCCCCCTCCATGGGATCTGAATATACCTCTGGGTTCTGATGAGCTCCTTGGGCTTGGCTCCTCCTCTTTGGGGCTTAAATGTGCCTTCCTCTTTAAGTGATGATATATTTAAGCTAGTTATTTTTATTGAAAGTAAAATATCAATATTTTCAATATTAAATATCTTGTCTGGCTATTTCTAGCGAGACCTGCTAGAAATTGTTTAAATTCTTTTTCTCTATTGGATGGTGTCTCAGAATAAATTTTTCTCTCTGTGCAGGGAAGACAATAGATGACCTCTCAGACAATAGAAGAAGTTTGCTTGCAAATGTAGCAGCAAATACAGAAGCTCTGCAACGTATGGTGGCTGTTGAAGCTGGCCAGCCAGGCAGTAGCACTGGTAAATGCATTATAAATGTAGTGATCCATACTTTCTTTCTTTTACTCACTGTAGCACACAAGAAGAGTCACTGCTCTGTGCAGCTCACAATCTGGACCCACTGGTAGATGGAGGTTAGGGAAAATTAACTGAAACCTCAATAGTTGACTTAATTCACTATAAACATAGCAACAGAAATTTGTCTTTAGGAGGAATTTAAATGTGGACAGGTTAGGTGCTTTAAGGGTAAGCTCATGGAAGTCCTACCATGCACAGGTGGCCAAGTAGAAGACAGACTGTATGACAAGCTGCAAACAGGTGAGAAAGGCTAGGAGCATTAGCGGAACACAGATGATGAGAAAAAGCATGAAGTTTAAAGGGAATAAGTAGGGAGGGACAGAGTTGTGGAGAACTTTGTGTGGTAACAAGGGGTAAAATTTTGCAAAGTGACTAAGTCACTCAGGATCATAAATCCCATTAAAAGTGGGCTTAGGCTCCTAAATGACCTAGGCACTTTTGAAAATGGGACTTAGGACCCTAAGACACTTAGGCATTTTTTAAAATTGTACTCAAGAAGCTTAAATTTGATGTGATAGAGGATAGGAATCTAGTGGAGTAATTCAAATGGGGGAGGAGGACTAGCGGAGGCATGTACATGATCACATCAATGGGCAAGGAAAATGAATTTAGAAACTGCATTTTGTATGGACTGAAGGGAGGCATTGTATGTGTTTGGGTGACGAGAGAGTGGGGAGTGGCAATAGAAATTTGGCTGTGGGGGTGGAAAGAAAAGTACAGATCTTGGAGATGTTGAGAAAGATGTGGAAGCAGAATTGGATATGATCTGGATGTGTGGGCAGGGTAGAGGGAGGAATATAAAATAGCCCTGAGATTGTGAGCCTGGATCATGATGTTGTCAGTAGTGCTAGACAAGTGAGGGTATCTGGATTGTTTGGGAAGTATATCTATTTTTCCCAAGTTTAGTTTAGATCAGCTGTTTTCAAACTGTGGGTTAGGACCCAAAGTGGATCACGACCCTGTTTTAATGGGGTTGCTAGAGCTGGAGTTAGACTGGCTGGTGCCTGGGACCAAAGCCTGAGCCCCACTGCCTGGTGCCAAAGTCAAAGCCTGAGGTTGTCAGCCCTGAGTGGGGGGCTCAAGTTACAGGTCCCCACCTGGGTCTGAAGCCCTAGGACTTTGGCCCCCCGCCTAGGGCAGTGGGGCTTGGATGGGCTGAAGCTTCAGTCCCCACTCCTGGGATTGTGTAGTAATTTTTGTTGTCAGAAGGGGGTCATGGTGCAATGAACTCCTGGTTTAGATGATGACAAACCCACCAAAAGAAGTTGAGAGAGACTGAGTTATGTGATAGGATAGGAGGAGCCAATTTAGTGGTGCAGTGGTTGAATTTGAGAGTCATCAGCATAGAGTTTATAGCCTAAAATGGATTAGTTGATGAGATTGCCCAGAGACAGGGTGCAAAGTGAGAAGAGGGAGCTGGGAGAGAATAGAAGGACCTACCAAAAGATATGCTGATAGAAGAGAGAGTTAGGAGGAGAACCAGAAGAGGACAGTATCTCAAAAGCTTAGTGTGTATATGTTGTCAAGAAGGAGAGGATGGTCAACTGTATAAAAATGGTACAGTCAAGGAGGATGAAGATGTAGGAGGTGAAATATGACAAAATTCTTCATACATTGAGGACTTCAGTGAACTTCAGTGGTAAGTACAAAGCTGATCCTATATTCTTTACTCAGCTAAAACTCAGTAGCAGTTCTCCGTGGCTAAGTGGAGACTAATTAAGCCATCTTCAGTAGGAGTTTTTCCTGAGTAGGAAGTGTAGAATTAGGCTTTTATAACAAAGATCCAGTCAGCAAAATATAGTGTTTAGAACTCTCCCTTTAGAGACTCATGTAAACAAGTAAGGAGCTGAAGGCAGCACCTCTTTTGTTTCCCATATGGGGAAGTGACCATATGCTAAAGGAAAGTGCTGTCCTCACACTGAAAAAGGATGTTTAGGCAGGCTGATTTGCTGCTGTGTATTCTTTAAAGGAAACATGTTTGTTTTAAATGGTTGGCATCATTTAATTGTTAAGCATTTTCAGTGTCAGAAGCATGATGGTCCGAATATGCTTCACCAGTCTACTTCTGATTAATGCCTGCCATAGCAGAACGCTATTATAATAAAAGGGTAAAAGTTCTGGCAGGCAGGAAACTATTTCCTTTATTTGTCAAGATATATTTAGAGAATTCTTATAGACCACTATAGTTTATAAAAAAAAATAAATTCTGTAATCTAAATGATCTTTTTAGACTATTTTGGGCACCCATTGTACCTTAAATATAATTTTTCTTCAAAAGATGTCCCTGTGGGTGCTCCACTCCAGGTGTTGGTACGTCCCTGCGCCTTTGCTCAGAGATTTTTACAGCCGTACTTGTGCCGGTCGCGCAAGCGCAGAGCCTGCCCCCCCGCTCTGAGTGTACCTTAATAGTACATATAGTGCATGACCGGTCTCCTCAGTTCCTTCTCTACCGTCCCCGGCCTGGGACAGAGCTCAGCAGACTCGTTAGAGATTTTCTCTCCCTTTGTTACAATTACCTTTCTAGTTAGTTAGTTGTTACCAGTAGTACTTAGTTACCATTTTTCTATCTTTTCTCTCTTTAAAAAAAAATAAAAAAATTTCTTTGTTCCTGTCAGTGGCAGCTGCTTCCGACATGCCTGGCTCCCCAGGCTTTAAGCGCTGCTCTGCCTGCAGTGATGCCATCCCTCTGTCAGATGTCCATTCAAAATGCATAAAATGTTTGGGGGAGTCCCACATCCCCCAGAAATGTGCCCACTGCAGCAAACTTAAATCCAGGGCACGGAAGGACAGGGAGCTGAGGCTAAAACTGTTCCTCCTCTAGAAATCCTTTGGGTCAGCTTCAGAGCCAGGCGCTGACTCCGCTGCACACCACAGCCCCACCGCCTCAAAGAAAGATAAGAAAAATTCAAAAAAAGGGCACCTTCTCTCACCAGCAAAGGGAACTTCACAGCACAAGCCTTCCCCGAGCAGGTCTACAGCCTCCCTCCCTGCGTTTCCCCGGCTGAGTACTTTTGACGTGCCAGGCTCCTCCGGCGCTGCACGAAACCTGCCTGCGGCTGTGGCGGTAACACAAAACTCTGGTGCCTAGGCTTCAGGCTCCCAGTTGCCTGCCTCTCACCTGGCACTGTTCGGCACCACGACGGAAGCAGTACCGACACATTCTGACATGCCTGACCCCCCACAGGCTATTATTGCTCCCCCGGTACCAGCACCCGCTGAGCTGGCCCGGCAGTGAAACAATGCTCAGGACACCGGTGCAGAACTTTTCTTCACAGCAGATTCCTCCTGCACAGCCCTCGCCTCACAGAGGAGCTCCAGCACCACAACTGATACAGTCAAGAGACCTGCTGGTGTCACTTATTCTGCAGTCACCCCTACTTAATGCCTACTTCTCTCCAAATGCTCAGTCAGGGTCCGGACAGCCTTCCTCCAGTGATGAGGAAGCTGGACTCCAGGGGGAATTTTCACCATATCAAACCCCCCATCCTCAGGCCCCAATCAATAGAGGTCATAGAAAAATTACCTCATCCTACTCTCAGGATCCTGCCTCGTGGTGCGTAAACCCCTGGATTACACCACCTATGCCCTTCCCACCACAGTGGCAATATTGGGCTCCATGGGCATCTTATCCTCGAGACCACACTCACTATGCCATGACAGCCAGGTGCGACACCTGCCCGGCACCAGCAGCTGATGAACCTACCACTGACGTAAGGGACCAGGCAGCACCATCATAACTGCAGGATCAGTCACGACCTGCCTCAACCCCAGTACACCCAGTTGTTACGTCTGATGAAGCCTTACTTCCTCCTCCCCCGACATCTTTGGATGACTTCTCAAAATTTCAAGACCTTTTCAAAAGAGTTGCCAGTGAATTAAGAATTAACTTGGAGGAGGTTCCTGAACAGCAGCATGAGTTAACGGACATCCTGCAGCCCTCTTCTTCTTCTAGGATTGCATTACCAACCAACACAGCCCTTTTGGAACCTGCTAAGGCCTTCTGGCAGACTCCCACTGCAAGCCTACCTACCTGTAAACGAGCAGATCACAAGTACTTCATCCCTTCCAAGGACTCTGAATTCCTTTTCACTCATCCAGCCCCAAACTTGCTGGTAGTAGACGCAGTTAACCAAAAGACCAAACACCAGTTTCCCCATTCCACTTCATCCGACAAGGACAGTAAGCGAATAGATCTGCTCGGACATAAAGTATATGCATTTTCCACATTACAATTTCACATTGCTAATTATACTGCCGTTCTGGCAAAATATGACCAAAATAATTACAACAAATTCATGGACTTTGATGACATTCCAGAAGAAAAGAAACAACAATTCACGGCTCTAGTTTCTGAGGGACAAATCATCTCACGTACCGCTCTTCAAGCGGCCTTTGATGCAGCCAATACTGCAGCAAGATCCACTGCTACAGCAGTGGTCATGCACCGAGGTTCATGGCTCTCCTCCTCTTCCTTTCCTCGAGAGGTCCAGAATACCATTGAAGATCTTCCCTTCGACAGTGACAAACTCTTTGCCTCCACGATGAACGACATACTTCATTCAGTGAAAGACTCAAGGGCAACTCTCTGGTCTTTAGGGATTCAAACCCCTGTGACCAGAAGGTGACAATATAGATATCAACCTTACCAGCATCCACGCTACCCCGCATATACCCAGCAATTCCATAGATCACATGAGCAACAAAAACAACAGCAATGCCAGAGACCCAGATACCAGCGTCGCCATCCCAATTCCTCGGCAGCGTCTCAATCCCTCCGACTAATAAGCAGATTTGAAGACTTGGTCGAGGGTTTAGAAAACAACATTCCCACTTGAGCGCTTACACCATATGTCCCTATTTTTGGACACCGCCTACGACCATTCTCCCATGAATGGCAGAACATTACCACTGACAAGTGGGTTATAGAGGTCATCAAAATTCTC